AAGAACCTTCGTTAAATACCATGTTTGCCAGAGAGTCTAGTTACCTTGACTGTTTTGACTGATCATCGGAATCATTGGAGATATTTTTGTAATCCTTTCGACACGCAGCCACGATTGAATTCGTTCCGTTCGACGACGTTGTCGATATTTCAGAACGCGAGGGTGGCACTCAACAGCCGGCCAGCGTGTGCGATGTCGAATATTACGGGCTGACGTCACCGGTGAAGGGTACCGTGGTACATCCGGAGCCTCACCGATTATTCGCCATGGAAGGGCCTATAAAGTGCAGGCAGCACTTCATTCCAGCGGCTAGTCAGTCGGTCATCATCCGCGTAAGTTCCACGACTCGTATTTACTCGGCGACGAGACCCTTCGAAGGGGGCATTTTTCGCAGAATCAGATATCTATGCTCGTTACGTTGCGTCAGATATTCTCGTAGAAAGTTTCATCCGATTCATTCTTGGATTTCGAGCATTCACTTCGTAACGTAATGAAGTAGAATTTTAAGGCATTCCATGAGAAGTAGAAAAGAAAGATGTAGTAAAAATGTGTAAATACTGGGAGAGAAAAAGATACGATAAGTTGCATTATTAATTGATTACATGTTGTCAAAATTGTACACTTTGTTGAATCTATCTCTCCATCTAGATTTTCTTTTTTCTTTTTTTATAATTTTAAAAATATTCCTTAGAAAATATATTTCAACGAATACTAGAATTAAAGAATGTTCTTTTCTCGCGGCCTTTCCTCTCGTGTGTGCGATCTTAGAAAAATCCAAGTTTGAACCTACCTCCACCTCGGAATCATCGAACTGAACGAAAGGAAGGGGCAAGTTGGCAAGAAATAGGGAGAAGAACAGCGAGAAAACTCGGAACTGGAACTAACAGTAAAAGTTCCACGGATTCCATACGATGCGAAAACCACTTGGTCGCACAATGCCAAATCGTGAACGCGCCGGTTGTTGTTTCTTTGCCCCGTAGGTTGAAAGCAGTTCGAAGCAGAGTCTGAACAACCCTTGCCAGACCAAGTGCGGAGATAGTGGCTGTCACTGCGTCAGCAACATGACCCTGGAGAGCGTGGACCACCTTCTGCTTGTCTCTGAAACCGGTCATATCGTCACTTGCCTCTGTGGAAATTATCAGGTAAACACTAGACTTTCTGTAAACTTTATCCACAATGGCCCGTGAGAATTTCGGTATTTGTATCCCCATCGCACAACAAACGCGGAGCTTTCTCAAATATTTGTACTGTTTTCATTATCCTGTGGCAATAGAACGAGTTCTGCTTTATTAATTCTTAATTAATCAAAGGATATCGATCTTCGTCTTACTGAAAGTGAGTGGTGACATTTTTGACGAAAGGGAAGGTTAAAAATGAGAGATAAGTAAGAGGAAATTTTGAATGAATATTATACATATATATATATATATACATCAGATCAAACGTTCTTTTCGTTTGTTAAAACAGAATGAGACGAAAAAAGATGGGAAGAAATAAAAAATAAGTTTAAAACACACTCCAAATATGTAATCCATATCAAACGTGCGACAAATGCGTTCGATTTGGGAAAACCAAGGTATAAAATTCTCAATTCGTCAAAAGAATTCTTTCTTGCTCTCGAAACGCTCGAAAGCCAGTGTACAAGTTCGTTCAAACACCAACGAGTTTTTCGTTTCAGAAATAAACCATGTGACACCTTGGTCTCGATGATATAACAGGGGTGGTCGATGATCGAGATCGTTTAATTCGAAAAACGCTCGCCGAGCGTCCAAACGACATCTCTCTCTCTCTCTCTCTCTCTCTCTCTCTCTCTCTCTCTCTCTTGGTACATTTTTCTTTTTTTTTTTTATTTTCTTCACCTTCCACCCATCGCATTTTATTTCTGCCGCTCACGTTCGACTGTCACCGTTTCATTCAACTTTCATTCACGGACAAACGGCCCGCTCGCCGATTGTATTGGCGGGGCATTGAATGCTCTCTGCCGTTTCTATTCAACATCTATTCCATCAACCGGCGTGGAATTACTTCGAACGATTTCACCGGTCGCTGAATAAAACAAATAATGCTCGGGCATGTAGCCCGGGCGAAAGTAGACAACGTGAGACAAAAGGGGAGAAATTGTTTTTCGCAGAATCGAGCGAGGCAGGGGGAGAAAAGGAAGAGGGTCCTTTGTCGAACTGATTTGCTAACTGTCATCCGTTCGCAGCCCAGAGAACGGGAACGCGCGGAATGTTTAAACGTGGTGCGTGCCTGTCAATCTTTTGGGAATCTTGCGCTTTTCGATGTTCCGAATATGTTTCTTCCTCTTTCTAGAGGAATTTAGTTTCATTGAGTTACGGATGACCGTGGTAAGTGATAATTTACGTGATAATCTAATTTCACTTCGTGCCGGGATTACGACAATAACGAATCAGCTCCACCCTCTCTTTCTCTCTCTCTCTCT